TCACAGCCCAAGATGACCTGTGCTTGGATCCTTTTTATAGCTATGTGACACTGGCCATAGAGTTTCACCTGCAAGCCTCTGTTCCCTTCTCTGCACGATGGGCATAAAATTGTGTTTTTGTGAAGACTGACTGAACTCATGGGTGCCTGGCACACGCTAAGAGCCGCTTACATGCAGCTATAAAACCTTCCATGTGTGGCTTCTGCACATTTGCTCTGCATTCAGGACAGGTGAGAATGGCACAGGCTTAGGGTCAGGGGATTGCATTTAAATTCACTGCCTGACCAGGGCAGGTGGCTTCACCTGCCTGCATCTGGATTACTGCAATCAGCTAGTCTCCCTGCTGCTACCTAACCTTCCAGTCCCTTTCCTCCATGGCCAGAGTGACGTCAATCAGGTTGAGGACTCCCCAAGACTATCATCCTGAGACACTGTTTAGACCCTGAAGGGACACTGGCCCATGAGGTCACCTTCTAGCTGAGTAACAGATTGGCTCAGAAAATAAAGAATGTCACCCATGAGCACTGTGCTCCTTGAAAAATCATCTGTATGAGACTAAACAGTCAGCAATTAGTTCACAACAAAGATGAGAATGTAAGGGGCCTGGATTAATGGAAATGGAACAACCGGAATGGAAGTAAGAATTTCACACGTTGTGAAGAGTGTACCACTGTCACTGAACAACCTGAGTATAAACTGTTGAATGGGAACTTAAATTGTCATGTACTGTGTTTAATCACAAACAATATAAAAAAGTGTATATATATGTGTATGTATATGTATATATATATGTACATGAAACAAATAAGCCGAACTCACTGCCATTGAGTCAGTTCCGATTCATAGCGATCTCCTTTTTCCAAGGAATTGCCCAGTCTGCCTTCCGCAGAGTGGCTGGTGGGCTTGAACTACCAACCTTCTGGCTAGCAGTCAAATACGTTAGGCATTAAGCCTCCAAAGCTCCCAATATGTGTATACCAAACCAAACTCACTGCTGTTGAGTT